CGTTTGCCTGCAGCACAAAACCCCAGCAAACTTAAAAAAAACCCAACCAAAACCAAACAACTACTTCGCATCTTCTCTCAGATCTCACAATTTTTCCACCTTCGTTCCCAGCCCCTTCATTTTTCTGGTTTTTCTTAAACTCAGAGAGCTGCGGGATTCCCCTTTCCTTGGGCGCTGAAGGTAAATCCTGCCAGAGATCTGACAGCAATCGCTGCCATCCCTACGGAGCGGGATGGTGGGGAAGGGGATTTGTGTTTTGGAGTACTCAAACCTGCGGCGTACCCCACTTTTCCTGTGCCCCTTGGGACTGGGACTGCCGCGGTGGCAGCATCCACAGCAGCACAGGCATTGTTAGGAGGGACCGAAAGGAGGCATTCTCCAAAATACATGTAACAGTCTAATTCCATCCAAAAAAAGGGGAATTTTCTTGAATTCCCATTAAACATCACAGGAAAGTTCATATTAAATTTAGCAGCTATCAACCCTACTTCATCTTATTCCAAGGGGCCGCATTCCCAGTTCGATCCCTGCTTCAGAAACACGCTCTCACTGGGAACAGAACAGGACTCGGGTCTTACTTTGCTTTGGGTTTTTCTTGTTGCAGGAAAATGTTTGCTCACCCACCCCTTCGAGGCAGACAAGAAGAAAGCCGACTTCTGCCACCATCCCAAGCAGCGACAGCGGAGAAAACCCCGAGTTTTATTCTCCCAAGCTCAGGTGTTTGAACTGGAACGGCGATTTAAGCTGCAGAAATACCTCTCCACTCCGGAAAGGGAGCACCTCGCCAGGGTGCTCAAGCTCACCTCCACGCAGGTGAAAATCTGGTTCCAGAACCGGCGGTACAAGTGCAAGAGGCAAAGGCAGGATAAATCCCTGGAGCTGGTTGCCCACCCGCTGCCCCCACGGAGGGTAGCAGTACCCGTGCTAGTCAGGGACGGCAAACCCTGTCTTGGGGGCTCCCAACCTTATCCAGACCCGTACAGCATCACCGCCAGCCCTTACTCCTATAGCTCTTACTACAGTGCCTATAACAGAGGCCCATATGGTGCTAGCTATGGGGGGGGCTACACCGGGGTGCCCCCCAACGCCACCCCCGGTAGCCATGCCGTGAACGGGAGCTTGGGCATGGCCAGCGCTGCTCAGCACCAGCCCTTGTGCTTGCAAGCCACCATGCAAGCAGGAATCAGGGCTTGGTAGGTGGCGGAGAGAACCGCCTGGAAAGCATCGAGGAAAGCCCCCCCTCCGCTCCAGAGCCCAGCTTTCGTCGGGACAGGGGCCGAATCCGAAGGGATTTTGCCACCCCGGAGAGTGGGACGACTCCAGCCCGTCCGTCCCCTCCAGGCAGCTCCTGCGGTCATGTCCCTGCCAAGGCAGGTCAGGAGAGAGGGGGACGCTGCCGCTCCAGCGCTGCGACTTTGGGGACCCGATGGCCAAGGGCATTTATTTATTTACAGACAAATGTTTTGGAGTCTGGCCCTTCCCTCTCCCATAGAGGATTTGCTCCTCCAGGATACCAGCGCGCAGCCATCAAGAGGTTTTCTGCCTAAGGACGACTGAAAAACAGGCTCTGTGCACATCACTGTGCATTCGCTTTTTTTTTTTTTTTTATGAACAGTATTTAATGTTTTTAGTTCCTCTAATGTTTTGAGATACGTTTCTGATTTATATTTCTTAATATCTCCCAGAACAGGTGTTCATTTCTGTCTTTGTTATCATAATTATTTGCAAATAAAAACCAAATTGGTGAAGCTGTGTGTTTTCACTCTCTCACCATTCCTCACTTAGTGTTTTCACTTTTCCCCATCCACAATTTGCATCCGAGCATCAAAACCTGATCCAAAGCAAAACCAAAAAACAAACCCCAAATGAACCTTAACCCTACTAATTAACCCAGAAAGATAATCACCCTGTGGTCCAAGCCTGGGCACCTCCCAAGGTTTAACCCCGTCCCTGACTCTTGGCCAGCATTTTCTTCTCTCCGCTGCTGCTCCCCGAGTGGTAACGTGGGTTTGTAGGCACACAGTGGGGCAGCTCACAGCATCCCGCGGTGGGCTGGTGACATCCGAATTTGAACCGAGAGGTGCAGGATCCCCAGATCAGGATCCATCGGCATCATTGCCTTGCTGGATCAAAGGGCTGTATGTATATTGATTTGTCCATCTCTCTATACGTATTTATGAGACGCAGGAGAGCTGGATGCCATTGCGGTGTCCTGGGGCAGGTGGAAGGGGAGCACAGCCACATCCCGAACAGGCAGCACAAATCCACGGCCTCGCACTTACGGAATAAACCCTGTGAGACCCCGTTAGACCGACACAAATGTCAGGCTGCCCACGGCCCCCCCAGGGCAGGCTTTACTCCTGTTGGGGAGGGGGGGAAAAAAACCACACAGAGATCATTGCCTGATGCAAAATGTTGGTTTAACAGAGATCTTTCCACTACAACGCTGAGATATCCCAATGACAGAGCCAGACAGCAACCTGCACATGAGTCCCACCGCACGGGACAGGAAAAATCTCCTCCTCGCAACCTCCGTCCCCCCTCTGGGCTGCTGCCCCCTCCTCCCTGCTCCTTTCCCGACAGCTCCTTATCCTCCCAGCATTTGGCGAAGAAGAGACGTGCAGGAGGCAATTAAGCTTTTATCTCTAATCCCACTCAGCCCCATCACTCCGACGTTCAGTTGCTTCCCAAATGGGATATCCCTGACATCTAAATCAAACCAGAAAAACCCTCTCGGTGAGATAGCCCTGCCACTCCGAGGCTTCGCAGCCCCACCGAGACCCTGGAGATGACTGGGAAAGGCGACAGCCACGCTGGGTGCTGCCCCTTCTCCTCCCCTTCATCCATCCACACTCACTCGGGGATATCTCCCCAAATCAGCTAGGGCTCGGGTCTCTGTCCCGGCTTTGGAGCAGCCAGGGGACGTGACAGGGTCCTTGCACCGGGAAACGGTGCTGGCATCGGGGAAAGCCCTGGCAAAGAGCAGCATCCCCAGTTCGTGGGCTCACCTGCAACTCTTAACGACACCAAGAGTCTTTTTCCCTTGAGGTTCGGCAAGAAAAGGAGGCAAATCACATGAAACTCCCCTCAAATAAACACAGAAATCAAAGGAGGAAATGCCTACCCTCCCCAACTCAGATAAGAAGCCTGAAAATGGGAATCATGAGTGCTGGAGGCATCCTTTATGCCCCTCTGTATGTTTTGGAGGGACTTTCCGAAAGCCCAGTTCCCATGGGGTCAGGCTACCCCTAAAGCCCTGGTGTTTGCTGGGTCCCCTCTGTCACCTGCCTCTCTGCAGCACGGCAGGGCTGTGGCTTTAAACCTCCCATTTCCAGCCCAAATCAGAAATTACCCGCTACACCAACTGCTGCAAAAACCGAGCTTTCCCACCCACCAGCCCGTATTTCCCCAAAGCCTTCTCCTGGACCAAAACTCCTGTCCTGGGCCAAATTACTCACTGCTCATCAGCTACGAGGTATTTTCACTGGGTGAGCCACGGATGCAGGCACTGGCAGCGAAGGGACAAGAGACTCGACCCCAAAAAAGCCGTGCAACGAGGCTGCCCAGGACGGACCTACAGCCAGAGGGGTCAAACACATGGATGGCACCAAGAGATTTCATTAACGGTTACGGTAAAGCTGTGGCCGCAAAGCAGAGGTGTAACAGCCCAGGTCTTTTCAGGAAAATGCTTAACTGAAATGAAATGATCCTCCTGGAAGGAAGAGGACTGCCCAGGTTTTGGGAAGAGAAGCCCTTCTGCCAGCTCATGTGTTCATCTGTGTGCTCAGAACGGTACGGGATGCACAACCAGCCCCAGCCCTAGGTGCGCAGGCGTGTGCTGATCTCCGACAGCGGCAAGGGCAGCCTAAAATCAGCAGGGGTAGAGGCTCTGCGGTGGGAAAATTTGCTCCCAAATTCAGCACAGAGTGGCCCCAGGAACCAGCGAGCATCCCCGCACGGCGCTGCACCCACAGCCACGCTGACCTGCCCTCAGGATGCAGGCCAAGCCCTGGTCCTGCCGGGGGGGACCCATGGGTGCCCTTTGGGGCTCCCCCTCCATCCCAAGCACCCGTGGGCAGCACAGCGGAGTCCAGTTTAAGCACTGGAGCGGGTGGGCAGGGAGGGGTGGGCAGCCCACCCACCCACCGTGGCCACAGCAGCACCTTATACCGGCTCCTAATTTGCTCTCCAGAAGCGATGCCGAGGGGTTAGAGGGCCAGTGGCTGGGTCACGGCTGCAATAATACTCTTAGGCTCCAATTGCTTCATAAATCTTTCCAAATTCCCTTTCTCAGACTACAGGAGGATAATGAGGCTGAATTACTGAAGCCACTGAAGTTTTCCAAGCTTACAGAGAATACGGGGGGATGTTTTCTAAGCCAAGAGCATCAGCAGGTTAAAGAATGAGAGAAAAGGGCAGGTTAAAAGCAGGGTTTGGGGCACGGGCTCCAGGCTGCCGTAACCAAACACCCTCCTATAAAATCAGCAAAGTCTTCAGGGGATTTCAAGGAAATCTATTGTTTCCCATTTTAAGATTAAAAAAACCATGCCTGGGCTTTTCGGTTGAAGAAGAGAGGCTGGGTTTGAGTGAAGGTTTTAGGAATAAAAGAGGTGATGAGTGATACATTATTCCAACAGCAAAAGGAGTTTGCAGACAACAGGGCTATAGGGGGTCACTGTATATATATCAATATATCTCTATATCTCTCTACCCATCGCTCAGAGGGTGCCTGCAGCTCCCAGGGGTGCTGCTCATCTGCGTCCGCAGAGCTGAATCCTCCTCCCGTGGGGGCTTCCCCACCAGATTGCTTTGCCTTATGATGGGGCAAGGTGATTTTGTCATCATGTGCTGCTCACATCTGGGAACGGTCAGAGCTGTTTGTGTGGCGAGCGGGGACTTGTTTTCCAAACAGAAACTCTAGAAGAAGAACTACAAATAAAGTAGATACTTGGGAAAAAAAAATTTAAAAAATCTGTTGTAGCAGAGAGCTCGACTCGTGGTTTTTCTTGGAATCAGGAAGGTTTTGCTCCTTTTGGGTGCCTTTGAACACAGGGCCTTGCAGGGTGGTGTATAAATGTACTAAGGCTTCTTAAATAAATGCTGTCCCATTCCACAGCTGGTCAAGGAATTAGTCTGAGGTTTAGGCATAAATGTTCAGGCAAACTCTCTGCCCCTTTCTGTGCAAGCATTTGCCTCTGGAGCCGCTCTCTGTGTCTCTTATATCTTGACTCGTTTTAAAGCCCTTGTTAGAGCAGCTTTGCAAGGCTGATGAAAATGTCTTTGACATTTTTCCCCTGATTTTCAAAAAACTGAAAGTGCATCAAAGTGGAAGGTTTTGAAGAAAACCCTCAAAGCCCTCAACATACAAAAAGAACCCAAATCCTTTTATTTTCTTCACTTTTTCTCCCTGAAAGCAGCATTTCCCCAAAGAGCTCTAGGGATTACCCTGGGACACAAATAATTTCCATATCCAGGAGCAAGCAGGGCACCAGCTCGCTGGGGCAGGGGATGCAGAAGCTGTCCCCTTGCAGAGCATCCCTCCAAGGCAGCGATGCTGCTCCCCCCTTCCTCTCACCAAAACCCCCACCTTGGGAGCATTTTGATCCCCAAAAAAGGATGAACTCGCTTAAGCATCCTTCTCTTCGTTGTAAAACCTCAGGGGTTATTTGCCAGCAAGGGAGCGACAGGGGGGCAAAGAATGAAGCTGAGGTTTGGCTGTGACCCCATGGATCCATGGGGAAGGGGGTCCTGAGCAAGAGGGAGAAGTAAGCAGCCAGAAACCCCGCGGGAGCCAAGACACAACCGAAGGGCGTAGACTCCTGTCAGGGATCTCCAATCAGGCCCAGGAGGCTTGGCTGCCTGCCGTATAAACGCAGAGCCGGGAGGGTGGGAAGGCAGCGTGCCTCTGGCAGGGAGAGGAAGAGGAGAATGAGTGCTGGGGTGCTCCCTGCAAGGAGGCAGAGAGCACCCGGCAGCACCCCAGCAAGGATGAGCCGGACCCCGACAGCAGCCCAGCAGCCCATGCCCATTTCCTCCAGGCCCCGGACATCCTTCCTCATCCAAGACATCCTCTGGGATGGGGCAGAGAGGGGAGCACAGCCGGAGAGGGGCAAGACCAGAGGGTTTTGCAGCCTGGAAGATGAGGAGCCAGGGGCAGCAGCAGCAGCAGAGGGGAGCAAGGGCAGCTCGGCCATGGGGGCTGCCCCAGGGCACCCCCTGGGGAGCCCTCATCCCCCAGGAGCATCCCCAGCCCAAGCCCGAGGGACATCCAACAAGGTGGATGCAGGTAAGAGGGTGGAAGCTCCTGGCTGAGCCCGCTGGCTGGGGAACGGATCGGCAACGTCTACGCTTGGGTCAATCAAGGGGCAGGATCCAGACCCGGCTGCCTCGAGCATCTCAGAGCCAAATAATCCGTGCTTTAAATACCAGGGAGTATCTGTGCTTTAGCAGTGGGAAAGCAAGAGAAATAGTAACTGCGTGCAAACCTTTTGCCAGGCGCTTCAGATAACTCCAAGGACTGCATCTGCCTAAAATGCCATTGAAAAAAAAAACAAACCACAAACAAACCCAGTCGATGGATTTCTGCAATATCTTGGGAAATAAAGTTCCCTCTTAGCACAGAAGGTCCCTAGCAAGGGCACCTCAGTGCCGCTAGCTCAGAGAGGCAGTTCGTGGCAGTCCTTCACGCAGTCGAGCTCATCAGTGCCTCTGGTCCGGGGATCTTTTGAAAGTTCCCGTGTTGAATTTGTGCTGTTTGCAGCAGGGCTCCGCTTTCCCACATGCTCAGCCCCAATTTCACAGCGTGGTCCTGCCTCTACTGCCGCACATCGCGCGCTTCATTAATAATGATCCTGCTCCTCCTGATACAACGCTGCCAGCATCACTTTCTGGCATGCAACTGCTAAATCCTTTGCAGGGAATAACGTTTCACTGCAGAAACAAAACACACTCAAAAGCAAATTTTTTTTTGACCAGTGCCTCTTGCATTGCAGCAACGTGAGCACGGCTGGGGCTGGGTCTCAGCCTTCCCCTCCCCAGGCAGTCCTGGGCTGAGCTGCAACAGCCAAAAAAGCAATTTTGAACTCTCTAGCGACCGGCTTTTGCTTACTAAGAGAGCCCTTGCCAGGGGAATTTTGGCTTTACATTTCAGTTCTATTAAAAGAAGCTTCTACATAAAAGCAAGTTCAGAAACAGCCATCAGGCTGATTATTAGGAAAATCATTAAAAGCCGTACCAAATCTCCCCGAAAGGGACTAATGTAAATCAGCGCAGCTCCAGGGATTTCAGTGGGACAACCGTGATCTGCACAAGCTGGGAATTAAGCCTGTTGTTTCTATCTTCAGCATTATGTTGACAACTTAAAAAAAAAATATACTAAGAAGTGACTAAAGGAAAAAAAAAATAAAAAGATTGGCCTATTTCCATCCCAAGCTGGACAATGCACAAAAAGGAACTAACTATGTAAATAAATTGACTGAAGGAGTTTTAATAGTTACAGGTGACACTTCCCAGGGAGCTCAGCACCTTTCTGGGTCGCGGCTTGATCGACCCATTGGTCTGACGATAAATCAAGTTGGAGGCAAACACTGACATGCTGCTTTGGAGCTGTGATCTGAGGCCAGGTCTGCAGCTGTACATGTAAACCCAGGCCTAAAGGTTTAAAAATCTTTCCCAAAGTTTCTTGGTGTTGCCTTGGAGTGGTGGAAAAGGGAGGAATTTCTTTTCAATGCTTCCTAAGTGCAGTCTGCTTTAAGCTGCGCTGATTTCCCATGTCTGTGCTATCCTCTGTAGCTTGAGGACAGAAACTTGTTTTCTTTGAGGATCAAGATTTTCCCACAGGCACAGGAGGACGTTTCGAAGAAGTGCATCCAAGCACCAATTCTGCAATAAAAATCTCAAGAGCTGATGATGCCGTACTGTATGTAACAACAGTACCTTGGGGTTTTAGGCAGACCTCCACCAGCATTGCAAAATAACCCTTTGTGGATTATTTTAGTCCCTTGAATCTATGTTCATGTTGAGTGCATGCTTATATGAATTAAGAAAGTGTGATTTCAGAGGGGAAAACCTCCCTTATATGACTTTCAGATGGCATTCACTCCATTAAATGACAATATTTCCGAGAGAATATGAATATTTTGCTCTCTCGGAGGGAAAAAGCAAGTGATTTCCAAGCGGGTTATTTCCAAGCGGGTAATTCTCAGCTCTTTCCTCCCACAGATGCCACAGCACAGACCTACCTGTCCGACTGTGACCCCCCCCCACGACCCCTGCCCATCGCCCACAGCCCCCCCAAGCAGGCAAAGCGCTCCCGGGCAGCATTTTCCCACACCCAAGTCATCGAACTGGAGCGGAAATTCAGCCACCAAAAATACCTGTCGGCCCCCGAGCGAGCCCACCTGGCCAAAAACCTGCAGCTCACCGAGACGCAGGTGAAAATCTGGTTCCAGAACAGGAGGTATAAAACCAAGAGGAAACAGGTCGCCTCCGAAATCAGCAGACTGGACACACGTCTGGCCGGGCAGAAAGCGGCCGAGCTCCCCGGAGCATCACTGCTCACTCTGCGGGGCGACTGGCAGTACCTGCCTTGCCTCTACTACTTGAACGGCTGGAGTCCCTCGTGGTGGTAACCGCTTTTTTAAACAGAAAGCATCCTTTTCACTTTAAAAGTTTGGTGGGTGGTTGGTTGGTTTTTTTTAATACTGCATTGCTCTTTCTAGTGCTAATTAGGGGAGGGAGACCTCGTTCGTAGTAGTGATCAGCATCTTCTAGTTGCTGCACAAGCCTCTCTCATTGCTAACGTTAAAAAAAAAAGCCAAAAAAAAAGCCCAAGATTTTAAAAGTATGGCATTCAGCGCACTTGATAGCACCGCTCTGGGGTCGATGTGCAGCTGTAAAATATCTCAGGCTCTTTTGGGGGCAGAAAGGGATGGTCCAACCCCAGAGACAGCTATCGCCCCTCTCCGCCCCTCCTAAATCACCTGCATCCTCCCGAAGCCTTTGCCCCTTGCTGAGCTCAAGAGGGCAAAAAGCAAACTGCTGATCCTGGGCTGGCACCGAGATGGTCCCAGCTCGGCTGCTTGGGCCACCAGCTGTTGAATGATCCCAAAATTAGGCTTAAAAAAAAGAAAAAAAGGGCAAAAAAAGATAGCATTTCTGCCTTTGATAATTGCTAATGGTCCCAGAGGGGACTTAGAGCCCCCCCAAGATTTCTGCAAGCTGTTGAGCAGCACTCACAGCCTCCACCCAGGGCAAGGTAGGTGGGTTTTGGGGAGAATTAAACCCCTTTCTGCCATAAGCAACCGCAACCTGAAGTGCCCGACGGCCACAGAGTTGCAGCCGGGGACCAGGTTTGCCGGGACGTGAGCCAAGGCAGCCGCCCCGGCCGGGATGGAGCCGTGCCAGCTTACCCCCACCCAAACCCGTCTCTCTGCCCTTCCACGGCCGAGATGCTAACCGTCACCACCGGTGCCTTCCCAGCCTTGAGAAGCCAAACCAGAAAACCTCGAGAACACGGACAATAGCGCAATGACAGATGAGTTTTGCATATCCGGGTGTTGACTCTATTTGAACATTCCCATATAAGCTATTTAAAATAGCAACAGCTTTAAGAGTTCATCACTCCCGTCGGCTTTCAAAGCAGCAAACTCCCTGTTTGCAAGTGAAATCAGCCCGATTCCCAACCCCAAAGCATCAGGGTGGCAAGAAAGTGATACCTTTACAAGTGTTTTTTTAGCGAGATGACAGCTATTTGAACTAGCAGAGTAGCAAGGTTGTGGGTGTTTTTTTTTTTTTTTTGGTAACTAATCATACATAAAACTTTAAATACCACTAAGTCCATGGGACAAAGCATACAATTAAATCAGATTTCTAAGAGAGGAAATACATCAACTGCTTTTTCCTCAGCTAGCGTAAATCAGCATAGCTCTGCTGGGACAAATTTAATCTTCTGAAAGAAAAATACGTGGAGGTTTCTTCTCTCTGAACCTCCAGAGATGTTCCTGTGGTGCCTCTTCTCTTTCTGAAAGAGAATTAAAAACCACAGCGGTCCCATTCCCTCCTGCAGCAGGGAAATACAGACAATGAAATCATGTTAAGGAACTGCTTAGATCTGTCCCTTTTAACAGGATTATTTGGAAACTGAGCTTTTGCCTTGCCAATAGACCCAGGTTTTGCAAGCTCACAGACACAGCAACGACGGAGCTGCCGGGGGTACGTGGATGAGGAAAAACTCAGGGGAAGGGAGGACAGGGAGAGGAGAACACGCAAACTGAAACCCTTTGTGATAGATATTCGTTTGCTCTTGCTATCAAAGCTGCTTGCTCAATTTGGAGGACAACCAGTTGCTTTCTAACTGCCTGAAAGTAACCTCTAATATCTCGAGATAACATTTTTCTTCCAGCTCCTGCTCTCGGATGCTGTGTAGCCCCCAGCCGATGCTCGGGCGAGAAGGCCATCTCCCCTGCACTGTTGCAATGTGTTTCAAACCCAGCCCTGCTGCTTATCCACTTTGCACTTTGCTTATCCACTGCTTGGAACAACAACAATAACACCAAAAAAAAAAAAAGAAAGAAGCCCTTATGGCCTCGAAGCCAAGCCCCCACACGGCACGCATCCCTCCCAACAGCATCGCCGGGGGGAGGAGGTCCTGCCGAAATCCCATGGGCTCACTCACACCCGGACCCTTGGGATGCTGCATAAATCAAAGCAGAGACACCGTATTTGCACTAAATACGCTGGATTAGCAGCTCCAGCCATCCCGGAGCTGCCCCTCGATAGGGATCACGGTGTGTCCTTGGCACTGACAGCGGAAGAGCAGCAGGGATGGGGACGTTGTGCTGTGAAAGACTGAACTGGGCTGGGAAAATTAGATATAAACTGAAAATTAGATATAAACTGAACTTCTTGAACGCTTCTTTGGGAAAATGTTTGTCATACCTACTTTTTCCCCCCTCCCTGTTGATGGTTTACAACCAGTAAAATATCCTTCCTGTTGTTTCAACACCAAACTGCTCATACTTAACTTGGCTGGTATAAAGCAAGTACAGTGCAGATAGTCACTATTTTTGTACATATTTTTTGATACTATTTTATCTGATGTGCATCGCCTTTTGGAATAAAGAGCTCAGAGCCTTTATTAAAAACAAGCTGCCTCTGTGGGGTTTTTTGCCCTGGGTTTGGATTTATCTTTTAAACGCTGCTTCTGTCACGAAATGACCACGACTGTCCCACCAGCACCAGTTTCGCACACGAACAACTATTGCAGACGCTGCACTCCAGTGAGTTTTGTGCAATAAATTATCACAAGCACCAGCTCACAAGGTTTTGCAGGTGATAAATCATAATTTGTCACTATTTCTAGGTGCTCAGCACAGAATGCTGCTCCATCACTCATCCACCCAGGTACAGAGTACCACTGAGCATCCTCTAATCCCATTTACTGTCCGATGAGTGTGAAACAGGTGACCATTTCTCAAAAGTATGAGCTTATAAAGTACTTTATCACCCCCAAACTACCCGTAATCCCACAATTTAAGCACAATCCCAGTGGTCTCCAGAGTTTTCAACTAAAAGCTGTGGTCCCAGTTGTTTTTTTTTTTATATTTCTGCCCTTGTCTTCCAGTCCTGCAACACCGTCAGCGCAACGAGGGGCAGCGATGGGCTCCATAGGGCCGTAAGAAGAAGAATTCATCCTGGGAGCCATCGGCGTGATCGCTTCCCCCTCGTATGGAGGCGGAGAGGGACGACCTTGGGTCCCAGCCTGCCCGTGCACACACTCCCTCGCCTCTCCTCTTGGCATCAGCAACTTTTCCCGAACGGAAAGTGAGCTGAAATACCATTATTCCCAGCTTAATCTTGTGTTTCAATAGCTTTAAAAGAAGAGAGAAAAAAAAAAAAAAAGTCAAAGCAGGCATCAAGATGGCAAAATGAGCTCCCAGGGAGCTCCTATCGCCTTAGGATGCTGGTGCTGGATCCTCAGCAGCCAAACCCTTGGGCAGACGCAGTGCTGGGCTCCGCTGCCTTCACCCGGCCACGTCACGGAAGGGGACAGCAGCCCCCGTACGTGGGTGATGTTTGTCACGGGCAATGACAAGCAGCGGTCCCTGCAGTCAGGGCTGGAAGTCGGATCTCCTCCCCCGGCACTAATCCTGCCAGCAGCCTGGTCCTGCTTACAGGATCTGCCTTGTTCGTAACCCAGACCAAAAAGCTGTTGGGGGCCAGTAAAGCGCAGGTCTTTTGCAGCGTGGGCATCTGCCAAAGCAGGTGCTGGGTCTGACACGGTGCTGGTTGGAAACAAGGATGCAGGCAGCAGCCTCTGCCATGGAGAAACATCTTGGCTGACTCGCCCCTGCCGCCAGCACTGCCCTCCCTCCTCTCCTCCCCAAGGGCTTTCTTTACGGACAAAAGATAAACTTCCAGTTGGGTTTTCCTTTTCATTTTCTAGTACAAAGCACGAGGACAAAAAAAAAGGGCTGTACCGTTTGGATAACCAAATCATCCGAGAGTGTTAAAACATTAATCACAACAAGAGGAACGACACAGCAGGCTTTCCCAGTGATAAATATCCCCTTGATTAATACAGAAAAGAAAAATCCCACCTTAACTATGGGGATGTGGAGTTTTAATCAGCCTTAACGAAGCAGAACTCCTGTTTGTACGCAACTAGAAACAGAAAGCATCATTTAATATCTGTCATTAGTGTCACGCTCCGCCGCGAACATATCCATCAAGATTAAATAGCGTCTAATGCTGACATAACATTTACACTCATTTGTGCCAAAACATTTATTTAAAGCTAAAAAAAAAAGAAAAAGAAAAAAGGCTGCCTTTGGATAATGTAACTGTTGACTAAAATTTGCATGCAATAAACCACATACTTGGCAAGGACGCGCAGGACTGGAGCCAAGAAAAATCTTCAACTTGACCTACACAACATTTGCAAACCAGAGCAGTGGGAACAAGTTTGCTACATGGAGCTAAACAGGGGGTGGAAAATGCAAGGACACCCAAAGTGCCAGGCTGCATCAGCCCGGTGTTTCCCCCCAGTTTTGGTACCAGTTATTACAAAGATACTTTGAAGAGAAATGCTGAAAACCTTTTGGCAACAAGCACTGGGATGCGCCTTTTGGGATGTATGGATGCTTCCCAAGGAGAGAGGTAAGCTAAGCCAGAAAGCACAAGGATTTAGAGCTCTTAAAACCCCTTGAGGATTTTCAATATTTATTATTCTTATTGGGGATGCTCTTGTCATCCACAGAAACATTTCATCTCACTCTAACCCAGCCAAAGCCTCTGTGGCAAGGCTGTCCTGTGGCAAGGAGTCCCACAGCCCATTTTGAGGTGCTGGACCACCCGGTGCTCCCTCCCCGCTTGAGCCATCCCTGCGGCAGCGATGCCAAAGGAGCGGGTCAGGGAAGCACGGGAGAAGGCAAGTGGCACAGTCATCAAGACTGATTTTCACCGCAATGGACAGCTGATGGGGAAAGAAAAGGAAAGGAGGGAAAAAAGAAAAACAAACCAAAAAAATAATTACTTTGAAGATGTGGCAAAATGCAGCTTTGCAGATTGGTGTTCCCATGGGAAACTCCTTCGCTGTCTCTCCCAAAAATCCAAGGCGCATTCCTCCTGT